GACTGTGCTCTGTGGCAAGGACGTCATCGCCGCCTGGCGATCCGTTGCTTCGGCATGTTCGACACGGAGCTGGAATACCACATGCAGCAGGCCATCGGCGGGAGCAACGAGGATGCGGGTCCGAGTAACGGCGCCAATGGCAACTATGCGCCCGATCGCCCGGATATCCTGCCCGTTCAGGATGCCATTGGTATGGACATGACGATGTCGGGCGACAATAGGCGGCAGAAGTGCTACACCAATCGGGATTTTTTGGCCGGCGAGTTCGTGGAGCGCAAGGCATCGGTCGGCTATATGTTTGTGGCCATGGTCAGTTACCTGGTACACATGTTCAATAAGCGGCGGCCCATCCAAATGCATAGGGTGCGATGTCCGTGGCAATGGTCTCGCAGCTTTGCACCCATCCACGTGCAATCGCACAGCAATCAGCAGACGGATGCGGACGGATGCTTAACGGATGGCCTGGAGGCCATCATAGACGATGAGGTGTTCTTCGACAGTCCCTGCGAGATCACCACCTCCGCGGTGAACGACGAGAGCTCCGAGATTGGCAGACAGGCTTCCAAACCACGACCCTGTGCGGATCCATCGGGCGTCGGTGTTAGTGTCTACATGGCGGAGAGGCAGCAGAACGGCTGGAGAACCTCCGCACTGAATAGTGGCGGTAATGCCACCAGTGATATCAATCTAACCGGGGATCAGTCCTCGCATCAGGCTGGTGCTGCCCATATACCACTCTGCAGCTCCGTTTCCAGCCAAATGCAGCCTGCCATGCGGAGCTCCAACTCGACCACTTCCACCTGCAATCGTGGCAATCGCATAACTGCCCAACTGCTCGACGGAGTACTGGAGAACTCCCGTCGTCCGCCGCTCCGGTGCATAAAGTACTTTTCGGTGAACGACCTGGACGACCGCACCGATCATCGGCCCTTCTTCACCTACTGGATTAACACGGTGCAGGTGGTGGTGCTCATCCTGTCAATCATCTGCTACGGCATAGCACCTATTGGCATCGGATCTGAGCAGAAGACCGGCCAGGTGCTGGTGACCAGCCTCAGCCTGCAGACAGTGCAGCATGTGGAGCAGAGGAACCTCTGGATTGGTCCGCGGAACATTGACCTGGTCCACATGGGTGCCAAATTCGCTGCCTGCATGAGAAGGGACATCAAGATCACCGAGGTGGTTACGAAGACGAGGCGACACGAGAGGGAAACGGCCTGTTGCATTCGTAACGATGACTCCGGCTGTGTCCAGAGCTCCCAGGCGGAGTGCTCCATCCGAGGACTCTATCCCACTGTGAGTGTTCATTGAAACCATAAGAGAGGCCAAGTAGTTGTTGTAGATATGCATGAGTAGTCTTGGAGACTTTCTAGAGTCAATTAGATAATATTCTATTCTAAGACAACCCTTAATGGGGATAAAAAGATAATTTATTATTAATCATACCCAGAAATCAATATCTACGTGGAAGAAATGGTCGCCCAGCGAGTCCGGACCGGGAGGAAGGATATCCGGGTCCGTGTGCGGATTGGATCCCAAGTTTTGCGATGCCCCAGCATCGATAGCTCCGTACGAGTGGCCCGATGACATAACCAAGTGGCCGATCTGTCGGAAAACGAACTCGTTTACCCAGCGATATCGCTACAAGGATCACACCTCGGAGCACATGGTGTGCGAGGTGATTGGCCATCCGTGCTGTACAGGCTTATATGGAGAGTGTCGCATAACGACAAGGGAGTACTGCGACTTCATTAAGGGTTATTTCCATGAGGAGGCGTCCTTGTGCTCTCAGGTAACGAGATCCATATTGGCGTTAATTATCATTGGCTTATATTCCTCCCGGACTCCTCAGATATCGTGCCTAAACAATGTGTGCGGAATGTTCCCATTCATCTCCGTGGAGACTCCAGATCAGCTGTACCGATTGCTCACATCGCTCTGCATGCACGCCGGCATTTTGCATCTGGCCATTACCCTTATATTTCAGCACCTCTTCCTGGCCGATCTGGAGAGGCTGATCGGAACCGTTCGTACGGCCATCGTCTATATAATGTCGGGTTTTGCCGGAAATTTAACGAGCGCCATACTGGTGCCCCATCGGCCAGAGGTACATGCAAACTTCTGATAAGGGGGTCCTACTTTCGCGCATTCCAATGTCATTTCGGATATGTAGTTAATTGATTTAAAAATTCACTTACAGGTCGGACCCTCCGCATCGCTGAGTGGCGTGGTGGCCTCGCTGATTGCCCTGCTGGTTTGGATGCACTGGAAGTATCTGCACAAGCCGCATATTGCGTTGTTCAAGCTGCTGCTCCTGTGCAGCGTGTTGGTCGGAATCGGAACACTGCCTTACCAGCTGAACTTCCTGGGTCTGCTGGCTGGAGTGATTTGTGGCTGCCTTTTAACCATGTCCCTAGTGCCATTTACCACGTTCTCCAAGTACGGACGCAAGAAGAAGGTACTAGCTATGGGGTTTAACTACTACTCATACACTGTAATTATGAATGGGATTCATTTTCAGATAAATCTAATTTGGACCTGCGTTCTGTTCCACATTGTCGTGTACACCGCAATGATTGTCACCTTTTACATTCACCCAAGCGAATTCCACTCCATTAGTTTTGTGGATATGTTCAGCAACAATAACGGATACGATAATTTTACCAATGCCGATCACCATGGCGTCGATGTTGTGAGCAGCAACACCCGATACTCGCAGACGCAAAACTCCCAATACTACTATCATCATCACTCGGACGACATTATAAGGAAGAGCGTGACCTTCACCGAGAAAGCTCTCGTTTCGGTGGGTTTCGAAGGGTAGTGCCAAATATTGCATTTAGAACTGGATTTGAAGCACCAGCGAAATCTGTAATTTTTGGCCGCTTATACTCGTATTCATTTATTAAAAACTTATTTGAACCTGTTACTTTCAGCACATTTTATATCCCGCTGCGCCGCGGAAAACGAGCGCCCAACAATGGCAGGAAGTAGAGTATAGTCGTTCGTTTAATCACCTTTCGAACTATAGTGATCGAATTAAAAAGAGTATTGGAAATATATCAAAGCTTAAGCAAGTGTTCACTTCACCCATTAGATTCTCGAACAAGAACAACCACTCTAATCTTATGACTGAATTAACATCGGTGCACTCCGAGAATAAACAGAAATATTTAGGTTACATCAATAATACGGAATTTAACGTCCTTTAATATTTTACATATTAATCGATTCAATTCATGACAAACAACAATTTGACAAGTTTGAGTGCACAAATAGATAACAATTATATGAATAACGCATTAAATGTCTATTTATGTATGTATAATCCGAACTTTAAATGAATAAAGAATAATTAGTATTAAAAGGTTTGCATTGTGCATTTTTTGTATTTCAAATGGCAGCGGGTGAGAACTTCAGACGCTTTTAATAATAAAATTCGTGTTTAGGTATGCTTAGAAATGCTGTATTTCGCAGGATATACCAATGACTATGTACATATTATACAGTATAAATATTTAGATTAGTTAACTGAAGTTACAAAGGGCTGAAATTGTGTAATTAAATTCACAAATAACATATATATCGTACACTTGAAACTTACAAATAAATTCAGAGAAATTGTATGAATTAATATTGTTGACGATTCAATAATTATATATACATCATCTCAGCCATTGAGGACATCTTTTTGGGAATATGAACAATGGTGTCGAAGTAGCTGGCTAGCTCACCGATGGTAACATCATCGCAGTTTCCGGGGCTCGCCGAGTTGTAGCTGGCCTGCTGCGAACAGGTTGCTCCCACCAGCGAAACGGCTGACAGAGATCTTGTGGCGGCAGAAACTCCCAAGGTGTCGATCTTATGGCTGTGTGCGGATCCAGAAGGTCCTGGCACTTCTAAAGCACTTCCCGAGTGACGCGTTTTGGTCGAACTGCTGTTCCTTGACAAGTGCCAGCTATTTCCCAGGGTGCTTCTCTTCGATTCGTCGAGCATGGCGTTGCATTCGCCAATGACGTCGCGAAATGCGCATGTGCAACTCGATTTTAATTCGTCGGCGATCTGGCCAACAATATCACTGGATTCCTCTTTTGGCTTGCAGGGCACAATTCTACCGCTGCGTACAATCCATTTGCTATGCTCGCAGCCGTACAAGGACTTTAGAATGGGTGGCCGAAATATATTCTTTTTTGATGTACCATTTCGCTTTTGATAATGCTTCTGGACGCCATGGGAGCAGCTCAGCGGACTAACAATCTCGAAGGATTCTTCTGGAATAAAGGAGTCCTCTTGCTTGCAGTCTGGCAGACAACTCTCGGATCTTCGGCGAGGTCTGCATTTCCAGCGATGTTGTGATCGAGGTTTGGAGCCATCAGTTGTGGCGCCTTCGCAGATGGCCTCAGATGGATCGAATCCATTATCTGCATCGTAAAATGGATTTCGTTTCACACATTTGACGAGACGATGAGTATGTGTTATTTTCAACTTGTCCAGATCAGCTGGTAGCTCTTCGGAGGCCATTGTGCTGCTGGGTCCGTGTATTTTTTGTACCGTGTGGCCTATGCTAACGTGCCTGATGCTTGCTCAATGTTATTGAAGGCAATTGAGCAGCTTGAAGAAACTTCTTTCTTCGTTTTTTCCTATTTTTATTGTATGTATGTGTTACATTCACAGAAAAACAGATAAGGTAGCGACGCAAATGACTCTAATTTCTAGGGATGGACAACCCCCGATATTGTGCAAGTGTGTGAGACTGCAGTGCGCTGGAACGAGGGAATGGGAAATGGGTAATATGGTCTTACCATTCCTAAACCGTTTTAATTAATTTTGTTATTACATTAAAATAAATAGCTTTTTTAAGCAAGCTCAAGACACCGGAAATATAATTTTTACAAAAGTCAAAATCCACTTTGTAGCTCACTTACTTCCAATTCCTTGATTCCACCCTATATTTATAGTTCTGAAGTATATAAATATTCATAAAACACAACAATTTAAGTTAAAATATTATATTTATTTTATTGGATTTAGTCTTATTTTTGTAGCTGTTTTAAAAATCACATTTTTAAGATTTTTAAATTAATTTTCATAATTTGGAAGTGTTTGTGGGAAGTGTAATAATTTCCTCTTGTTTTTCATCATGGAGATCATATGGTATGCCAATTAAATAAATATTGATCGTCGTTAAAGGTGAAATTATACGATTTGTCTAGAAAAGGGTTAATTTCGATCGCGCACAATGCTTATTAATATTTTTTGTTTGATTAATCGTCAATGGAAGCCGAATTAAGGGCACTGCCGCCCAGCTGATTATGGGCTATCATAAGTATATCCTTCTTCTCTTTCGGAAAGCGCAATTCACGTCCAGCCATGCGAAAGGTCTCCAGCTCCCTCTCGGCAAGCACTAGCTCCCTGCGAATAACGCCGGGATTGTCGTGCTCCCTGGCAATCCAATCCAATGCCATCTGCGACCGCATCTCGTCGTCCAGGCTCCGGTTAGAATAGTGCGCCACCACTTCCTGTCTGGAGCAGTGGCGTTCGCGCATTGCCTTCAGCGATCCATTCCAGTGGAGCAGTTGAAAGACGGTCATGAGCTCTTGGAACTCCAACATGGTTCTTCCCTTGTTCGCCTCCAGCATAAATCTAAACTCAAAACAATTTTTATTAATTCATAATATTTAGTAAGACAATTTAAACCCATTTGCTTAACGATATGTTTTTAATGGAAAATTGTCATACTGGGTGGGATAGTATAAATGTAATGATGTATTCACCTGAATGCTCCGATGCCCGACTCTGTGCCCTCGTTGATTTGCGATGTGCCCTTGAAGGAAGTTCGAGCATCCTGAACAGCTTTTTGGATGAACTCATCGCTAATTCGACGCGAAGGATGCTCATTAAAGACGGAATTCATTAGGGCAATCTTGGCCGAACTGCGACGAGCCTCTGCCTTGGTTGGACAGTTCTAAAATGTAGATAAAGGGGTTAAAAAAAACTGCGCCAATCCATTGCCAATAGCGTAATTACTTGAAAACTTCCAAAGCAGCTTCCTCCAGGAAGTGTTACGAAACATATGTATGGCTGGCTGTTAGATGGAATCGATTCGTAAATCACAAGAGCTCCATTTTTTAATTCAGCTCCACGGGACTGCTTCATTTGCCAGAACTCTTGAAGGGCTTCAACGACATTTACTGAACGATATACGTTTTATTAGACTGGCTTATATCTACATAAAAATTAAAAAAGAAATCAATCTCACCTCTATAATCTCTATCTTCGTAAAATCCAGTTACGGTTGGTAAAACCCAAAAAGGTTCTTCGGGGTAGACCATTTTTAAGATTATTCAATATTATGTTGAACAAAGAATGGGTTCGGGTTTTGCTTTCAGCACAAAAGAAACGGCATATCATTCAAAGTGGCTGCAGAAATTAACATCTAATTAATTTATTGACCAGATATACTTAGTACGTGTGTTGATGCTACTTTTCGTTTACTTATAGGTATAATTATGTCGGTAATTAATTTCGATCTTGATTTCATCAGGCAGGAAATATTATACATTAACAGCATATGTTTACATACATACAAGACATGTATTGTTGCACTGGTGACACTGCCACGTCTTTAAACATATGTACATCGCAACGTCCCTCGGTAATTACGAGTTTGTCGCCTAAGTCTTTAGATTTGGTGTGCTCGGAAAGTTTGTTAAGTGCATATGTATTTTATAGCATTTGCCGTATTAGGTCATAATTTAAACACAAACATAATTATTAGTACACAATTGCACATCTAAAGTAATTTAATTTTCGTTTACACCAATGTATAATCATTCGTTAGATGTATACCTCTATTGCATTTACATTTTGTTTTATACATTCATATTGTTAATTTTCACTTTTATTTTATTCAGGAGAACGGACCACTAAGGTCACCAGCGAGACGAGAAACCTTTCTGCAGCAATGTAAAAAAAACTGGATACATTACTGTGCTGCAGTGTTGCCAACTATGGGCCAACAGAAAAAAGCCAGACCTCATTTAGCGGGAAAAGGCTAAAAGATCGAAACAAAAGCTAGCTAGCGGGATAAATCTATCATAAAAAATAATTTAACTGTAATAACTTTAATAGAATACAAACAATAAAAGACAATAATTAATATAAAGTTATATAGATAAACACAAATGTTGGTTATAATGACAATACCTTGAGACTAACACAAGAAATAAAACTCCAAAACATTAATACCTGAACCCCAAATCCCCATTCCTTAATCCTCCAAAAAACAGGTGTGAAACACTTGAGCATCCATTAAGTTTCTATAATTGCTTTAATTCAAAATCACTTCCTAACGAGTACAATGGTTGCCCTTACTTACTTAATTTCAATTAAATTAATTATTTACATCATATATAGTTGTCTGTTGAGTCCTTAATGTGTACATTATATGCATTTGTCGGTTTTTTAACTACTAAATCTATTGGAGCGTACAAAATGTCAAACAACTTTTGTTGTATTTGGCGGAGGTAGACTTATATAACATTTTTTTTCGCAAATCTGATTAGAAAATGAGACAACAAACTTGGACAGCTAATGGTTTTAACGTTTACCTAGATTAACATTAATAAATATTCATTCAGTATTATAAAGGTACCAAGTTTAAGATTGTGAAACTATAAGCAACGAACTTTTAAACAAGGAACTAAAATAGAATATCAATGCCTTCCAAATTGGGCATTGGGGGAAATAAATCTAATCCGTATTCAGGGTCTGCAGCCTCCATGTATTCTGAGTTATATATGTATGGCAGGTCATTAAAATCTAGGGGCGGAAGGCACTTATTTTCCAAATGGTTCTCCAATGTTCGAAGATCAAGATAAAGTTGATTCAATAGCCCTTCATAACCCGGTTGATTTTCGGACCAGGTCTCTGTAACCGCTGTAATTTTAAAAGTATATAGTGAAAATTTCAAAAGCAAGATTATTAAATGAACTTACGCTTGCTGCAGTTCTTTAAACATTTCCCGTTTGGAAAGTCAGTATAATTGAACAAATTTACGACTCTGGATTCGCAATTCAAAACGTAGGCGCCCAAAAAGCAGCTATTTGTTTTATACCTGACTTCCTCTCGATCCTTGTGAATCACATTTTGTTTAGAAGCCTTTCGCAGCGAAAGCTTGGCGATACTACCCTCTAGTTTCAGAGTAGTGCCTTTGAAGGGGGTTATTCCAGGAGTTTGGTGCATCACATTGTCAAGTTTCCCAAGTGGTTTCTTCAATACGGAATTAGCTTGGACTCCATTTTTCATTGGGTTAGCCGGTACTGTAATATTAACAGGCTATAGAATTACCAATACCAACGGTAATCGAACTCAATTCAACTTACAATTAATGCCGGTGTTTTCCTTGTTCAAAATCTGATCCATTTTGTTAGATTTTATTTGCGTACAGTATGTATTTTGAACAAATTCTAGCAGCGAGCTGCGATTTCGTTTAAAATAATTCCAGAAAACGAGCGGCACATTCCTAGAGATGGGAGACTCCAAGTGTCTTATATCTGATTTATCGTTCATCAGAAACGATGGTAATGAAACAAAATTATATACTAGTGAACAAATTAGGTATTAATACTTAATAATATTTATTTAAATTATAACTTTGATATCGCACTTAAATAATACAATAACAATAACATAATAACAAATATAGTTTTACTAACATATACGCTATTGTACGAAAATATTTCACCATTTTATTTTATACTATCAAAAGGTACCAAATTTAGGATTTGGCGCTTGGGATTATTATATGGGTTTTTTGGTTTTTCAAACTGGTCCCACTTAAGCAGCCTTTATAACAAAATTGAGTGAACATAAAACTTGAAGATTCAATACCGGAAAAATTTCAGTAGATTTTCAAGTTTTTAAACGCCAAAAATAGGGCAGACCGGAACAAATATACAATATTTCACTTATCACTTAATTTCAATCGATCGAACGTTTCTAAGGCTTCGCTATGGCGTCACATCAGTACCACCAAATTGCCAATTTGCTGGAAAAAGTATGTATAGAATTTAATTTTAGCAAGATAACGAAATTCTAATGGAACTCTCGTCTGCTGCAGATGACGTCCACGGACAAGGACTTCCGTTTCATGGCGACAAACGATCTAATGACGGAGCTACAGAAGGATAGCATTATCCTGGACGACGAATCCGAGAAAAAAGTAGTGCGAATGGTGCTCAAGCTGCTGGAGGATAAGAACGGCGAGGTCCAGAACCTGGCTGTCAAGTGCCTGGGCCCCCTGGTCAACAAGGTGAAGGAGATCCAGGTGGAGACCATCGTGGACTCGCTGTGCGCCAATATGATGTCCAACACGGAGCAGCTGCGCGACATATCGAGTATTGGCCTTAAGACAGTGATTGCCGAGCTGCCGCAGTCCTCAAATTCCCTGGCCCCGAATGTCTGCCAAAGGATTACCGGCAAACTGAGCACAGCTATTGAGAAGGTTAGTAATTCTGCTATTTTCAAAGCACCCAAACGTTGAATCCACCGTTCCTCAACAGGAGGACGTCTCTGTGAAACTGGAGTCGCTGGACATTCTGGCCGATCTGCTCTCCCGCTTCGGGGAGTTCTTGGTTCCCTTCCACAGCACCATACTGAAGGCTCTGATGCCCCAGTTGGCCTCCTCTCGCCAGGCTGTTCGCAAGCGCACTATCGTGGCCCTGTCTTTCCTGCTGATCCAGGCCAACAGCAACGCCTACAACGGTGTCATCGATCACCTGCTCGATGGCCTAGAGAATCCACCAAATCCAGCTGCCATTCGGACTTACATTCAGTGCCTGGCTTCGATATGGTAAGTTCCGATTGACAGTGGTGTAGGATTGCACTTAAGAAAATAAACCAAAAATTGTTAAGGTTATTTTCGTTCGCTCTCCATTTGATTACTTATGGAATTGTATTCTGGTTCAAATCGTGAAATTGTTATATATTAAGTATATATTTTTATATATATTCTACCATATGTAATTTTATTTAACGTTACTCTTTAGTCGACAGGCTGGCCATCGACTTTGCAACCACATTGATCGTTCCATGCTCCTGCTGAGCCAGTACAGCCAACGGGACGACGATGAGCTGCGTGAGTTTTGTCTGCAGGCCTGCGAAGCTTTCGTTATGCGCTGCCCAGATGCCATAAACCCGCACATTCCCATGGTAAGCATACGGGAGTTTTGTGCTAGGTTTCACATTGAATAACGTATGGTTTTTGTTAGATCCTGGAGCTGTGCCTCAACTATATCACCTACGATCCAAACTACAACTACGAGACGGATGATGGCGATACTGGCAACGCCATGGACACGGAGGATGATGAGTACGTTGACAGTGAGGAGTATAGTGACGACGACGACATGAGCTGGAAGGTTCGTCGCGCTGCAGCCAAGTGTCTGGAGGTTTTGATATCCACGCGCCAGGAGCTCATCGAGGACTTCTATCGCAGCCTGAGTCCGGCTTTGATTGCGCGTTTCAAGGAGCGTGAGGAGAATGTTAAGTCCGATATATTTCACGCTTATGTGGCCCTGCTAAAAAACACACGCCTCACCGACGACGTGGCCAACGACCACGACTCTATGGATCAGGTATCGGGGCCAACCTCGCTGTTAATTGAGCAGCTGCCACTCATTGTAAAAGCCATACAGCCGTTAATGCGGGAAAAATCGATGAAAACGCGACAAGACTGCTTCCTCTTGCTGCGTGAGCTGTTGAATTCGCTGCCAGGAGCCCTGGGTCCGTACTTGGAAAGCATTGTGCCAGGCATTAGCTATTCGCTGAATGACAAGAGTTCGACCAGCAACATGAAGATCGAGTCTCTGGGATTCCTCTACTCGCTGCTCCAGGGACATCCACCGCATGTCTTTCATCCACATATTCCCTCACTGGTGCCCCTTGTGGTGACTTCGGTCTTCGATCCGTTCTATAAGATTGCCACGGAGGCGCTCTTGGTGTTGCAGCAGTTGGTAAAGGTGATTCGTCCGTTGGAACCGAATGCGGCCAAGTCCGACTTTGATGCCCCATCGTTTGTGGGCCAGGTTTACTCGTGCACATTGCAGAAACTGAAAGTTACGGATGTCGACCAGGAGGTGAAAGAGCGAGCTATTGCCTGCATGGGACAGATTATCGCGAACATGGGCGACATGCTGCAGAACGAGCTGGCGGTTTGCCTGCCGATCTTCATGGAGCGCCTAAAGAACGAAGTAACCAGGCTGAGCAGCGTGCGGGCTTTGACGTTGATCGCAGCTTCGTCTCTGCGCATAGATCTGACTCCCATCCTGCACGACGTGTTACCCGCACTGGGCACATTTCTGCGTAAGAACCAGCGCGCCCTGAAACTACACTCCCTCGATCTGATCAACAAGATCGTCATCAACTATTCGAGCAGCTTTGAGGCGAACTTACTGCAGACAGCCATAGTTGAGATCCCACCGCTGATATCCGACTCGGATTTGCACGTTGCCCAGTACTCTCTGACGCTTTTGAGCACCGTCGCTCGCAGGCAGCCCCAAGCTCTAGTCGGCATACATGAGCAGTTCTTGCGCTCTGTGCTCATCCTGGTTCGATCTCCTTTGCTGCAGGTAGGCCAGAGGGATACTATTCGACAATTAGCACTAGCACAACTAATAAATGATTTCATTTTTACAGGGGTCTGCATTGAATTGCACTTTGGAGCTATTCCAGGCCTTGGTGCAAACACAGCTGTCTGGTCTGGACTATCATTCGCTCGTGTCGAAGCTAATGGCACCAGTTTTGGCTGGCAACGGCGATGCCAACTCCAGAGCCACTGCTGGCGCTCCCAGTGAGGTGGTGCAGCTGCACAAGCAGGCCTATCACTCATCGGCCAAGTGCATCGCTGCTTTAACACAGCAGTGCCCCCAGGTGGCGACCCCATTGGCTACAAAGCTGATAACGGATCTGCAGAAGCGTAACGATACGGAAATTATATTCTGTTTGCTCACCATCGGAGAGATTGGCAGGCATTTCGATCTGAGCTCCATACAGGTGCTGCCACAGACGATTATTGAATGCTTTGGCGCCACCTCGGAGGATGTAAAGGCTGCAGCCTCGCATGCTCTCGGCGCAGTGTCCGTGGGCAGCCTGCAGACATACCTACCTCTGATTCTGCATGAGATTGAGGTGCAGCCAAAGAGGCAGTACTTGCTGCTACATTCGCTTAAGGAGGTCATTTCATCGCTGTCGGTGTCGCCCAGCGGACTCGCTCAGCTCTTGCCCTCGGTGCCATCCATTTGGGCCCAGCTTTTCAAGCACTGCGAGTGCTCAGAGGAGGGATCACGCAATGTGGTGGCTGAGTGTCTGGGCAAACTGGTGCTTGTCAATCCCGACGAGCTGCTGCCCCAACTGCAGCAGGCATTGCGTTCCGAAAGTCCCACCATGCGCACAGTGGTTGTCTCCTCCGTAAAGTTCACCATCTCCGATCAGCCGCAGCCCATTGACGTCCTGCTCAAGCAGAACATTGGCGAGTTTCTGTTCGCACTGCGAGATCCAGAGCCGCAGGTGCGACGCGTCGCGCTAGTAGCCTTCAACTCCGCTGTGCACAACAAGCCCAGCTTGGTGCGTGATTTGCTGCCCACCCTCTTGCCTTGGCTGTACTCGGAGACAAAGGTGAAGAGCGAACTCATTAGGGAGGTGGAGATGGGTCCCTTCAAGCACACCGTGGACGACGGTCTCGACATTCGCAAAGCAGCATTTGAATGCATGTACACACTTCTCGAGCAGGGCTTGGATCGTGTGGATGTCATGCAGTTTTTGGACCATGTCCAGGCTGGTCTGTGCGACCACTACGACATCAAGATGCTGACGTACCTGATGACGGCACGTCTGGCCATCTTGTGTCCGGATAAGGTCCTGCTAAGTGAGTAGTACCTCAGCCTGTCACTTCAAATTTCTTCTTACCTTGCCTCACTCTTCCAGGACTCGATCAATTTATACAGCAACTACGTGATACGTGCACCCACAAGGTGAAGGCCAACTCTGTAAAACAGGAGTACGAAAAGCAGGACGAATTGAAGCGTTCTGCCCTTCGTGCAGTGTCGGCCCTTTCGCAAATACCCAAAGCAAGTGAGTATACATCGTTCAAACATTGTATCTTACGATAAACTAACTGAAATTCCTGTCCAACAGACAAAAATCAGCAGTTAGTGGATTTCCTCAAGTCGATCAAAGAAACTCCAGAATTAAACAAGATCTTCGAGTATATACAGAAGGATTCCATCACCGGTAGCGCAGATATTATAGTAATGGATCAAAGTTAAGCGGGAAACTTGGTTTCTAATTCCTTTACTTAAGAATATGCGTTTGCGCACAAACAAGTATCTCTTTTTCTGATATAGCTTTTAGATTTTCTAATAAGAAATAAATGCAGATCGACTTGAAAAAGTTAATTATAAAACCATGCATAAAGCTCCTAAAAACTACCGACAACCAACACAAACAAAAGCTGTACTGAATACTGTATTTATGTAATTTCACTAAAATTTTATTGATTTTAACGTGGGATTTA